AACAAATTGAAGTAATAACCAAAGATAATAAACTCAAGTAATACTTGCAAGTTAAATAGTCACATCATAATGTGGCGAGAGACAAAGTTTTAATCAAATATATGAGAACAAAAAGTGCAAAATATTTGAGAAAATTAATCAAATAAGCTACACATGCAAAGTTTTAAAACTCCCACTTTCCACTATTTAGAACAAACTGTGCAAATTCGATTTATATTTATCATATAAATGAAAATTAAATTACTCGGCATTACTAAACCGCATAAGATGCCTTGGTCTTCCTTTTCTTGGTTGATCCTCCGTTTGTCACAAACATCGCAAGAAAGTCTACTCATTGCTTTGATATATCCTACTCGACAGAAAGATCAAGAAAAAGCAATATCTTCATACCTTGGAGATTTACAAACTACCAAGGCGTATATATATTTATACCAGATAGAAATCAGCATGGTTTGAAGAACATATGCATCTTGAATAACAAAGACGACAAAACCTGAAATTTTTAGAAAAGAAAAAGCAAGAAAGGAAAAATATATTTGTGACTATATATATATTTATGATTTGAGAGAACGTCACTTAAAATAAACATAAGATAAAACATGGAATAGTAAAAAGAAGAATATGATTACCTTATAGAAAGAGCCAAATTCTGGAAAAAAAAAAACAAATAAGAATCACAATAGCACACCGATTCACAATATACTACATAGCTCATACCTCAGAGAGAGTACACTGTTTTAATGACATAATAAAAATTACAATGTATCCCTTAAATCATAGGGAGTCTATTGCTAGATTTTCCATGCTTTATACCTCTTCTAGATGTCACATGCCAATAATTTGACCAATTACGTCTGTAGTTACGTCTGTCCCGCGGAAATCTCACTCTCGTTCTTGTAGCCGCACTCGTCGTGTTGCTGCTGTTGTTCGTCAAAGATCATAGACATGTTTTGAAGAGTATATTATGCTCAATGAAAAAATATTAGATCAATAATACTTTCAATAAAAAGAAACAAAAAAAATTGTTACTGCTAATATAGTTCATTCGAAAATATCACAAAATAAAACAAAAAAAAAATCTGTGATAAATTAAAGAGTGGAAGAACATGAACTTAATGGGAAAACAAAAACATAGAAAAAGAGAGAGAATAGTATTAGAATGTTAACAAACTAATTAATCGATAAATTATATCAGAATATATTACTACGATATAAATTAAAAAAAAATAGCTAGAAGACCAATAATAGAAAGCATAGGTACAGTAAATAAGAATAAGAAACCTAACTTAATCGGAAGAGCTGGAGACGATGACATATAGATT